ACCACCACCACGGCTGCTCCCAGAACTACGACAACCACAGCCGCCCCCACAACCACCACCACGGCTGTCCCCACAACTACGACTACCGCAGCCGAACCCACAACCACCACCACCACGGCTGCTCCCAGCACTACGACAACCACAGCCGCCCCCACAACCACCACGACGGCTGCCCCTGCAACTACGACTACCACAGCCGAACCCACAACCACCACCACCGCTGCTCCCAGAACTACGACAACTACAGCCGCACCCACGACCACCACGACGGCTGCTCCCAGAACTACGACCACCACGGAAGAGCCAACCACTTCGACGACCACGAGCACCTCCACTCAAACTACAGCGCCAGATGTTCCAACCACGACCACTCTGCCTGTTCCGACCACTACGACAGTGACTGGACCAGACACCACGACCAAGAAGCCCTACTACAAGTACTACTACGGCAGGTACCATCACAATCATCGTTGCGCCAAATTTTGCAAGTGGCAGCCACCTGGCACTTGGAAGTTCAACCCCCTCTGCCGTGGGTGTAAGAAAGACAAGGACCCGGACAGTTTCACCGAAACGACCATGGCCAGACAGGCGAGACCAGGCTTGTCCAGGAAGCAGAAGAAGATCCATAAACCGCTGGACCAGAGGATGGTGCCCTCGCAGACTGAGGGGGTTCTAGATAAGGATCTCAGATGAAAGTTTCCGTAAGACCCCCTGTCAAAGCTGACGGGCAAAGGGTGCTGGAGGAGGATGGGAAAGGGTGTCCCCGTGTGCATGACTTCTGGTGTGCCACTTGCGTGTTCAGATATGAACCTCAACAACATAGTCTTGGCAACGGAGTGTCAAGCTTGCTCGCGTGATTTACTGTGACTTGATGTGGGGCCAGAAGATTGGTAGTTCTCTTCGCGCACCACGCACGAGGGCCAGGCAAACAAGGCCGGGCAAACCGTTTCGATCGTGTGGAATTCGATGATCTCAGGTTTGGGTCAGACGCACTCCGTGTAACGCCACATACTGGAGATGAGGGGTTTCCCTAGCCATAGAACTACCGAGCCATGAATCCAATCCCGGAAACTTGAAGTGGCAAACAGACAGTTCCAAGCCTTTGACCCCGGAGACAGCCGCATGTGTAGCTCGTCCTGTGCGGTCGCTCCCAGCCGTGTGTGGCAGAAGCAGGCGATACAGGGGCATGAGTAGGCTCCTTGACAAATTTGCATGTATGGGGGGAGATGTCAGGAGCACAAGGTCTCTGAGCCCCTGTATTGGACTGTCCAGCTTTCCTCGTGGGAACTTCCGCCATTTCGCTGCCGACCGTGCACCTGACGCCAAGCTAACGAGCAGAGCTAAGGGCTTTAGCTTAGTTTGCCTCTTTGGGGTATCTCCGAAACGACACCAGAGCAGTTTGTTTCGATGGCAAGGTGTACGCACAGGGTGGCCTTCAAGCGAGTGCTCAAAGACAGCACAGGGCACACCCGTGATTGAAGGATCGTTCCCGTTGGGTTTTTGACCTGGGAACGGGAGCGCTATGGTACTTACCACCAGACTTACAATACTTACAATCCTCCAATCGTGGGGAACCCGATCGACACGCCACAGCAGGTGTGGAGGGATGACGATCTCGACACGCATCCGTCCGATGTAAATCCGCTGTGCAAGAATCCATGGCTTAGGAGCCTCAAAACAGAAGAGGTTTGTTAATGATTAGGGGGGTGTCCCGGGAAAGCAGCCCCGACAATGGAGCCAACGTGCTTGCAGAGTCCGAGTTGCGAGAGTCCGAACAGAGTGCGTCTTACGTGATTTCCGGGAAGCCACTGTTCTGCAGTGTGCTCACTTCATGATGGGTGGGTGCTGTTAGGGGCTTGCGGAAGCAGTTTAGAGTGTATAACGTAGTTGTCAAAGACTGTGTGGAGCAGTTGGCGTGTCGCCTTGCCTGGATTGCACGGGTGTGACAATCGAAGCAGAGCGTACACCCTACGTACATATACACACATATACACATATACACGTATGTATGTTTATATGAATATATATATGTATATGTATATGTAAATGCACATGTATACACTATATGTATACATATGTTAGCATATTTGCATATTTGCATATATAGAAGCTTGGCTGAATGCACTGGGAAAGTCAGGGGTGACGTTTCCGGGACCGATGCCAAGAACACCATCCTGCCGGAGGCTCAATCTTGCTCTGCTTTGTTTTCTACGATGTGTACATGTGAACAGATAAACTAGGCATACTCTGCACATATACATAGTTTCATATGTACACACACATATGACATATATATATATAGAGACATATTTATGTATATGCATATATATATATATAATATGTATGTATATGTATATATATATATATAATAGAGAGACATACATATGTATACACACCTCGTGCATGCACGCACGGATCTCTGAATGTATGGGTACACGGATGTATGCATGTATGCAGAATACATAAATGTGAGCTGATCCGCTCCGAACTCCGAGGTCCATCTTGGCACAGGCAGCTCCCAGAGGGCACGCAGCCGTGGAAGCCGGGCTGGGGACCAAGATCACTTCTGCAGGCTTCTCGCTTTAGGGTTTCGGATTTAGGGTTTCGGGTTTAGGGTTGAGGGTTGCATGGGCGCTGGCCGGCACCTCAGTCCGTGCTGAAAAGGGTTCAGGAGCGCTGCTTTTCCGGGCGGGAGAAGCCTGCTGCAAAAGGGTTGAGGGCTCATTGCAACTGTCTTTGCATTCGGGTGCAGCAGCTCGGCTCACTCCCGCAGTCGGTGCTCGCCGCAGGCGGTCATGAAGGCACATGCAAATCGCATTAGCCAGACATGTACAAACGTACGTAGGAGGTTACAGAAGCTAGAACGCTCCGCGAGGCCAATTCATTCTAAAGCCATGACATGGTTCTCGGAAAGATCACTCCTTGTTCCATTTTCAGAAATTTCTATGTATGTTGTATGTATGTATGTATGTATGTATGTATGTATGTATGTATGTATGTATGCATGTCGTCTGTATCTATATACCTATCTATCTATCTCTCTCTCTCTCTTTCGAAAAAGATTTGGCACAATACTCATCACTCCTCCTGGCCATGGACTCGAACTTGCAGCAGTGCCCGGGCTGTCAGCAGTTGGTGGATGCGCAGGCCTTGACTGGTTTCTGTTCGGGTTGAGTCGGATGTGCATAGGGCGGGAAGAGATGGGCACAGCATCTCGAGTCAGGATGTCCACGGCGAAAAGTATTGCCCCAACTGTGGCGGAGTCTTGCTGGCAGATCTCTGCCGGGCAGACTGGTACCTCGAGAAAAAGGGAGGCCAGGCCAACGAATACAGGGATTCTTTCGCAGATTCTTGGACTGGGGTCGTGAAACATGTTCACTACGGCACTGGCTGCAGGCTCAGATGGCAGTCAGAAGTTGTCCGTTCGCCACTCAGCCTTTGTGAATGAAGCTGTGCCCGCTGTAGCATACATAGTTGACGAGGGTAGATGGTGTCGGGAGTCCAATGTGGTGAATGCCTCATTGCCGGGATGCCATTGCAGGTGGTGCATCATCCGTATCATTTGATGCAACTTCTCAGCACTTCGCAGACCTAGTTGACCCAGCATGTCTGCCTGGTTGCTCTGCCAAACAGCGGCCTTGAATCTGCAGCGAAGTGTTGCTAGCCTGAGGAAGATGAAGCAAATCAGCGCGAAGGCAGCGCATTGCAAGATGCAAGCGAGCATGAAGGCTCTAAGCAACCTTTACCTCTGGCTTTACTCCCACTTCCAGGTGCACCAGGACTTTCAGAAGCAATCACACTGGAGGAAGGCGTTGGCGAACCTTGGAGCGGGTCTGTGCTTGCAGACCGCGGTGCAGGAAGCTGCGCCACTTGGCATGGTGATGTGCCGGGTTTCGAGTTTACAAGTCGGGAGTGTGAGCTGTGAGCTGCACATGCAGGACAGATATCATAACCACTGAGAGTCATGCTGCTTAGACAGCTACTTACTACAGTTTCGTGTCGTAGTAGGCAAGCGGAACGGGCATTAGCCGATTTCATGGAAAGCCAAACAGTCGGCAGCGCAAGGGCTATGTTCTTGCTCATGGCATCCTGCAAGGCTGGTCCTCATTAACCAGTACAGTGTCCATGGCATTACCGGCAGCAAGGCAAGCCGCGGGTGCAACAGGGAGTAGGACTAGGCAAAATGGCCGGTCAAGCCATGATTGTGGGACTTGGTTGCGTATTTCTGAGCTGCTCAAGGCGCGGCACAAGCTGTTCGGCGCCGCATGCCTGCTCATCGCAGCAAGCAGACAAGGCCTAGGCAGGCGCATAACTCCTTTCTCGCAGAATGGGATGCGCGCTCCGTATCGTAGACGGGTGCGACAGAGACCTTTGCAGCGTGAGGCGTGACCTTGGGCGAAGTCGCGCGTCGTGCCGACCTGGAGGTGCGACTGCAAGGAGATCAGTTGAATTGCTCTGAGATGCTCTGGCCTGAAGGCGGGCAAGCTGCAGAAGATGGTCTGGAGAGTTTGCAAGACCACAGGCGCTCGAATTCCGAGGAGCGCCAGCCCTGATGCCTCTAGTACAATATAGTGCAATATAGTATGGTACAATACGGCATAGCATACGTAGTATAATGCGGTGGTTTTCATTTCTGCTTGTCGAGGACAGAGCAGAATGCAGAAGCGGCCCTTGCTCGCATCTGCGATCACTTCAATGTCAAGCAGAAAGGATGCCCCTTGGGAATGGGCTGGCTTGAAAGGGAAATCAGGGAAGCAGCAGCTCTGCGAGGCTGTGGCTAGCGCCAGTCGCTTGATCATCATGCATTGCAGGAGGAGTTTGCGCTTTTGGCGTCAAGCTTGTGGCCATCTCAAGCCAAGGCGGCTGTTCTGGATTGTCATGCCCTGTTCGCAAGCAGCAGTGATAGAGCAGTTTTGAACACCCGGACGCAGAATCCTGTCTGGCGGGGGCAGGCTGGATTTGCACTGGCCGGAAGTGGGCGTTCGTGCTTGCAGCAGCCTTTGTCTTGGCCGCACGGGCATACTTCTACGAATTGGACGCCGAAGATGCTGCTCGCCTTCAATGCTTTGGACATGGCAAACTCTGCGAGCCCGTAAACACTGAGGTGGCCGACTTCCTGTACATTGGGGTTGGAACGGTGAAGACGCGCATGCAGGAGTGCCAGCGGCATGCCGCATGGTCGTTCTTCTTCGCACGCTCCCTCTGTTTGTGAAGCATATTGAGGGCACTGCGGGAGGGTCTAGATGTTCAATGACACTGCCACCAGCGAGCCGTCAGGAGATGAAAGACCTCATACTCTCTGTAATGATGCATTTGCCGTGGGGCCACATGATCACAGCCGACAACTTGCATGTGCATCTCGTCCAGAACTAGTGGGTCACTAGTCTGAAGTCCTGGACTCTCACAAATGCAAACTCAAACCCTGAACGCTGCCGACCCGTGGGCGCATGCCTCGCCTGCAGAGTCCGAGTTATGAGAGTCCGAGCCTAAGTCAAAGTGTTCGCTTTTTGGAAGGTATCTCCCTTTTGCTCTGGAGCATTGGGAGCTACTCCGGTCCTGCGCCCCACGGCTCCGGCGGCAACAGCTGGACCTGCAAGATCGGCGGCAGCAGGCCGCGGAGATTTCGATATTAACAGCCAGAGGGGCCAGAATAATAATAATCATAGCTTCATTCATGGCTTAATCGTAGCACTGGTAAGAACGGCACCACCAGCAATAAGAAGAATGTAGTATGTCAACCCGAACACTTCAGCTTGGGTGGAGGCGTTGAAGCAGCTGGAAGGCGTGGATGCGGATTCCGAGAAGCCTCCTACTTCTGCTTCGCCGAGCACCGACCAGATGCCAAAGAAAGCCCGGACAGCCGAAACATGTCCGACACCCCATGAGAATACCAGTCCGAGGTTGGGCTCTGGTGTTCTTGGGAATCCTTTGATTTTCTCATAAGTGATAGCACTCCAAGAGGCTATTCATATTATTTTCGACGTGGTTCTAAGGATGCCTAAGTGGGAGCTCGCCAGAGTAGGGCACTGTTGGACTTGCAGAGAGCAGCCTTTGGAGAGCTCAGCTGAGCAGATCGGCTTCTGAGGTTGGTGAGGGTAGCCAAGCAGGATGTCGATCCCAGTGTCGAGCACTCAGACTTTCCCGACTGCAGATTGCATCGTAACCTCTTCCTTACCGAAGCACGACCGCTTGTCCAAGCTTGCCTCTGCTGCACCAGCCGCTTCGCAGATCTAAGCTTGTGAGACGCAAGACGATCCTTTGGCAGCTGGCACTTTCGGGTGGAGGTTCGCTTGGCAGCTTTGGATGCCCTCCGGGCAGTTGCAGGAGAAGGAGCCAGGTGTGAAGCTGCCCAGCCTCCTCGAGCCAATCTCGCCCTGCACGAAGGAAGTCGCCGCCTGAAAGAAGCTGCCCGACCCCAAGCTGCCAGCGTTTGGGCCCAGGAGCCGCAAGAGATTAGCTCTCAGGCTCTGCACCTGGTCCTAGACGAAGACGATGCCGCAAGCCTACCAAGGACGCACCCAGGAGACTGAGGATCACAATCAAAAAGGCCTCGAAAGATCGCTGAGGTTGTCCAGGAGGCAGCCGCCGAGCTTCTCGAAACCCTTGACCTCACCGACTACCCGGAGAGCAAGGCCCAAGCTGCTCGCAGAACCTTGAAGCTCTATACTCTATCCTAAGACCTCAGAGTTCCGTTCGGCCATTGTCAGGAACCGGAAACTGCCGAGGCAGTCGAAGCTCATCGCTGTCTGTATGCAGAATTTGGCGTGCAAGAGCATGCAGTTGCTAGTGCTCCAGGCGGCGACCATGCAGACGCTTCCAGGAGATCCTTGCTGTGCCCAGTCAAGCTGCATTTAGGCTAAGCCAAGCCCCTGGCATTCCGTCTGTCGCAGTGCCCTGCATTGCAAGGAGAGCATCCTCCACCAGAGGACATGGGTGGGAGCGGCTGGAGTTGCGACATTCTGCGATGAATTGCAGCCAGGAGCAAGTAACAATGACCGAAGAGCAGGCGAAAGAAATCATGATGAGGTATTTGGAGAGGCTGGGTGAACAGCTGCTTGCCTGCAGAAGGGCATGGCACGACAAGCACCGACATGGCATCAGCTAATTGCTTGAGCTATTTGGATGGCCGCGCGTTTTTAATGCGAGAGGTATGTAACAGTTACCATGTTGAAGCCAATTGAAGGGTGCGTGTACGGAGGATGCGATGTGGCGAGACAACAGAACGGAGCAATGCCGGAGAGGACGAAGCAAGTCCAGAGGAGCTCGAGCTGGAGCACAGAACCTCGGCTGCCGTGACACATGCTCTGCCTGAGGAAGTTGCTGCCATTGCTGCCGTCGAGCAGCTCCGTCAGTTGCTAGGATCACTTGGACTTCGCAGCCCTTGCGAAGATCAGCATGGAGAGATTTCAAGTGCACCGATGCTTGCAGGACCCCATCTTCGCGATGTCGAAAGGCTGCGGACAGGTTCCTGTGGTGTGCGAGAACCCGCGGCCCGGATCCCGAATCCTTTCGACCAGGAGGGCGGCAAATGGGAGTTTTCCTGGACGGCCTTCACGTGACCTTCGTTTGCCCTGGAAGCTTGGCACCGGAAGCTCTTGGAGCCTTGCATTCCGTGATCAGCCCAAATTTGCAGCACTTCAGCAGTGGGCCGACCGCCCAGGATCTGTCGCTGCGGAGGCGAGTCGGACAGATAAGAAGAAATCTATGGAGCAGATGGGTTATTGAGAGCAGCACAGCCACAAACGAGCAAGCAAGACTTGTCGAGGATCGAAGTCTGCAAACTTAGATCGAGTGACAATGACTTCTTCCGGTTGTCTGGTTGCAGGCTGGCCTGCTGGTGGGCGACACATTCTGCAGGATGGATGATTCGGAGATCATGCGACAGGAGGACCACTGATGGAATCGTCGTCTTCTACAGCCAGTTAGTTATTCGAAGACGTGTTTCAAGATCCCAGGAGCTGGTCCAGGCATGTTTAGCCGGCGACAGCAGGAAGCGAGTAGTCGTGCAACGACATGGGGTGGAGGCTTCCGCAGCTCTTCACTGCTTGGTGCATCTTCCACCTGGTCAGGTTGTTCTGTGGCTCCAGTTCCCGATTGAGTTAGCTGCATCTCAACAGGCTTGGATCATGCTGCATTCGATACGGCCCTGTGCTTCCACTCATGCGAGCCAGCTTCTCTGCTTCCCCGCAGCACGGCCCCTGGCAGGAGGAAGACAGCCCAGCTCAAGATGAAGAGGTGCAAGGCACACACCTGTTTCTGCTTCGCGGCTGCTTGTGCAAGCCGCTAGAGTGCAGCTCACATTTGCCGCCATCAGGAGAGAGTGGTGACAACCAGCAGTGCCTCGACGTTTTTTGTTTTAATCTCGCATGCACGACAGTCTCAAAGCAAAGTTTAAGAAATGCTTCGGGCCTGGAGTGGAGCGCTGCGCTGCTGAGGTGCCCGGTGAATGGGCACGATGACGAGGCTGCAAGCGAGAGCTCTGAGCTTTTACAAGGCAGGGGGAGGTTCTGGGCGGTGCCGGCATTGGGGGCATGCGAAGATGCGCCAGGCGCCCTGATGTGGCAGCCCATCTCTGCCTTGAAATCGGGGAGCGGCAGGGCTGAGCTCAATAAAGATCTTGGTTGCGGTCAGCATTTCTCAGTTTGTAGGGACGCCGCGCAAGCTGGCCAGGTCGTAATGCCATGATAACGCACAGTATATGCAGGACACCGCTCACACCGGTGCCAGAAAACCGCGCGAGCTACGCAGGTTCCGAGTGTCGCCGATGTGAGCTCTGCTCGGATGCTTCACAGAGCGAGCATGCATCCAGGTGCCCAGACCTCATCTTCGGAGTCCTTGTCGTGACCCAAGATTTGGGTACACCTGGGTGAGAGGAAAGGACAGAGCGCAAACCGAGCTTTTTGCTTTGGCGAGGCCTGATCTAGAAGGCGTGGCTCTCAGTAGACCCGATCCCAGAAACTGTCTTCGAAAGCAGGCGGCGCTTTTTCTTGAGGGCTCAAGCTGCCAAGGCTTTCTCACCTCTCCTTTCCGATTTGAAGGGCATGGCACAACGGCGCCCTGCTGCAGAGGTGACGGTGACTTCGAGAACGTTGGGCGGGCGGGAGGTGTGCTTTCAGATCGGCGTTTATCAGCCGGTGCTGAGCGTGAAGAGGCGTGTGGCCAGTGAGCTGCGGGTGCCAGATTTCACCATACAGTTGGTGCAGCAGGGTGTGACTTTAAAAAACGAGACCACGCTGCTCAAGGAGCTTTTAAGAGACGACGTTACGGACCCTTCCCTCGACTTGGTCATCATCCGAATTCCAGGGCAGTTGCTGGACTACCGCGAACTGTTGAGCAAGTTCGTCCGAGCCGCAGACGACAGTCGTTTCAAAGAGGCGCGACAGCTGCTCGACCAGGGCGCCGGGGTTTCGATGCCGAGGGAAACCTGCTGTTGGCAGACTTCGGGAGCAATGTGCTTCATGTTGCCGTGCGAGGGAGGCTCAACGATCTCGCGCTGCATTTGATCAGCCAGGGTGTGGACCTGGATTTTCGAAACGAGATGGGTCGAACCCCCCTCGTACAGGCCTGCATCAAGAACACGCCGGAAGTCATCACAGCGTTGTTGGCCGCGCGGGCTGACGTCAACAAGAAGGATTCGAACAGCCGATCGGCTGTTTACTATGCTGCCATGAAGGAGAACGCGTCTATGGTGCAGCAACTTATTGAGGCCGGTGCAGACCCCGGAGAACTGGAGATGCTTGGCTGCTCAGGTCTAGAGCCGTCCTTCGTGCCGGTTCGCGCCGGTGAATGCTGACTCCGGCAGTAGCCCGAAGTCATCGGCCGATAGTCAAGGGACCTGAACATGTACCCACAATAGTCGGAGCCATACTTAAGGAGATCCTTCCTATGAGGACTGCGAGAAAGCCCCATGTAAACGCGACTACGGATGGTCAAGTCTAGCCAGTTTTGCTGTGAAAGTTCTACAAGACTGGGCTAGGGACATCAGCTACAATCCTCCATAGCTGCAGAGCTGAGGAAGCTACAGTATCCCACCTGCTGGGCTCCATAGAAGCTGTGAAGCCGCCCCCGCACTGGCGAAGATGTGGATGTGCGCAGTCGTGAGCACTGCCAGGGCAATGCAAGAGCACACTCCGTGCCTACGGCACTACTGCTCAGCCCCTGGGGATGAGATCTTACGACTCTCGGCTCGTGACGGCTCGTGTGTTTGTTACGCAGCCGGATTTGGCGAAGGAGTCTTCTTGACGCCCGAGCCATTAACTCTGCAGAGACCGTGCGGCAGGTTATCCTTGCTGCGCCAATGTACAGGTCTGGCTTTCCGCAAACGCGGCAAAGTCTACTGCAGTGATTATGAGTTGGCACACACGGCATGGAAAAGGTGTTCAGCAACAGAGCCTAAACTCGTGCTCTGCCAGAAATCATGGTGCCCGGTATGGTATATAATGAGCCCTTACAGAAGCCCACAAGAGGCCAGCCAGTACATACCTGGGAGCCTCGAGGTCCTGCATCTGCCGCTGTGGTTCCTGATGCCTCTCCACAGGAGGAAGCCGGTCGCGCGGAAGAAGCGGAAAGCAGCATTTGCCCAGAGAGCCTAGTCAATGTTGGCAATTGGCAAGGTTGATTGAGTCATAGGAGGGTCTTTGGTCTGATCTAAACTGTACAATATACAGCATACTCCTTAAGTGAGGGCTATTGCACTCCCTGGTTGCTGTAATTGGATGCTGACTTACGTTCTGTGGCATCTGTGGCTGATCCTTTTGGCGCCGTTTTCTTTTATCAGGCTCAGCATGGATTTTGTGGGCTTTCAGCAAACATCAGTAAACCAGTCCGTACGCATTCTCCAGCAGATTCAAGCAGGGATATGGCTCATATGGGCGAGAGCATGTAACCCTGGAGAGTGATGGGCAGACAGTCCGAGCGCATGGCAGAAGACCACCGAAAATACTTCTCGAGAGGCTGGGCCTGCAGCCACTTTGAGTAAGACTTCCTAAGCCATCACCAGGCCGAGTACTCAAGTACACAGTCTCCGCAGCGGCAGTGGCGCTCTTCCCGCAGGGCCTACGGCGGCTCATCAGCAAGAGATGAGCCGGCAAGAGGCAGCACGTAGGTTGAATTTGGCGGTTGCCCACGATGCCAGAATGCGCTGCTCCTGTGCCGCCCTCCATTTCGCATCCGTGCATTTGTGTTGATAGGGTTTCGCTGGACTTGGAACCGCCTCGACCACCGAGGCGGCAGCTTGGATTTGCTGGTGCTCAGGCGCACTTTAGACAGCAAGTGGCGGGGAAACAAATTGAAGAAGACACGACCTCGATACGAAGAAGGTTCTAAAAAAAGGCTGTGGAAAGAAAAGTGCCCCAGAGGGCTCTTATAGGTCCATCACAGACCTTGGATACGAGCTGGGCTATCTGGAAGGAAACTCGGGATAGTTGGCAGATGGCCAGCTTTATCAGCTTGTTCCAGGAGCTTCACAGGGAAATGCACATCCCCGACGCTGTACGCATGTGTCTTGTGAGGGCCTTTGATCTTTCAGGCTGTTCCAGACGTCTAGACTTCTTGAAAGGTCAACTGTGATTCCCTCAGAAGCTCCTGGCAGAGACTTGCATGCATCCCTGATTGAATGTGTAGAAGGGTTTAGTAACCCTAAACTATAAACTCTTGTAAGCCATACACCCTATACTCAACGGGTCCAGCGTAAGCTGAGGGTTTTCGCACCTGCAATGTCACCCATACCGAGAGACCTCGTCTGGCGGAGTCCGAGTTGCCAGAGCGTAAACGCTTGTAAACCCTAAACCCCTAAAACCGTGCTGAAACCCCTAAAACCCCTTAAACCCCCTAAGCCCTAAACCCCGCAAGACCACATGCCTCTGGAATGTCCGCGTGTGAGAGCCGAAACCCCCTACAGTAAGCCTTCGGGTTCTCCGAGTGTGAGTGCTTAGGTAGTATTATTAGGGGTACCCCTTAAAGGGTACCCCTTCTGAACCCTCCTCTTAAAAGGGACCTTATTGAGNNGGTCCCCCTAATCCTAGCTCCCAGTGCTGAGACCTTCCCGGTTTTTCAGCAGAGCCTTCCGTGCAGGTACCCGACGCCTCGGCTGATCGAGGCCTCAGAGCAACACTGCGCGCAGCTCCCGACCTCGGCTCCTGGCCTGTCCGAGCTTAGGGAGTTTGGATTTAGGGTCTGAGGGAGCTTAGGGGCTTAGGAGGATATGAAGGGTTCAGAGGTTGATGGTGTTATTTTTGGAGCGGGGTTGGGGTTGTTGAAACTTTAGAATGTCTCTCAGGTTTGAGGTTGTTGAGCAGGGCAATGAAAGGCTCTGGTTCGGAGTCATGAGTCTTCGGATTTGCCACCTGCACGCTGTGCACGCAAACGGGTGTTATTGCATGTGCTGCCTTCTGCAGGCTCCACCTACATCGAGCCCTGCGAGGTGGATGGCAGAATCGCATGGGCTCGAATAGATGAGGCTTGGTCAGTGCTTGTCATGCCTGTGAAAGTGTCGCGTTCAAGATTTCAAGACACGAGACCAACGGGTGCCAAAAGGGCTAGAGTCTAGAGTATCTGTCTGAGGCACAATGCGAGGCTTGACCTGCAGCTAGACAGTTCTCAGGTCTGCCAAAACCTGCGGGGCTACAAGAACCTGCCGCGGCTTGCCCGCACTGCGCCGGATTGGGTTTGTGCCAGCCCCCACTCGAGGAAGCCCCTTGAAGCAAGGAATTTCCAGCATCGTCCAGCAGTCGAGAATCCTGGCTTGGTCTGGTGGTTTTTGCGGGACCGACGCCTGGATGTCCAGGAGGCAGTGCAAAAACAGGGCGAGGCAAAACACACGTGGAGTGCATCGAGAGCTGAGACCTTCCCCTGCAGGCCACCGAGAAGCTTGTGAAGTGCTTACGCTGGCGGCAGAAGTTTCGCCGGGCCCTGATTGGGGCGTCGGGCTTGCATACACCTCGGCAGATATGCGCACCCACGTCCAAGAATTCGCGTACTGTAGAAATTGCTCAGGAGTGGAATACCTTGGCCCAGACATGTTCCTGAAAGAAATGCGGGCTGGGAAGGGTTATGTCCATCGTCATCCAGATGTTGTTGGTCGTCCCGTGATCGTGGCAATTGCTCGCAGACACAACGTCTTCGATCGTAGCCTGCTCGAAAGCTCACGGATGTGCACCTGGATGCTGGAGACCGCCATGAAGCAGTGTGATACCCTTGAGCCACCTCCTATGAAAGGGTCGAGGATGGCAACCTCCACTTCTTCAAAGCCTGAGCAGGCCCTTGGGATTTTTGATCTCCGGGACTTCTCTCCGCTCCAAGCCGACTTGGAGGTAGCCGGCTTCTTGATTGAAGTCTTGTACAACTACTACCCCGGGCGAACCGGTAAGGTCCTGCTGGTCGGGGCTCCGGACTTGTTCCGAAGCTTCTGGGAGAACATTAAGCCACTCCTGGGCCGATACTCCAGCCTTGCAGACTTCGTCTCGGTGGAAGAGCTGCGTGAGCACTACTTCGAGCCTGGCTTGGAGCCCCCGGAGTTTGCGGCAGCTGGACAGGCTCAGGTCCTTCGAAGCGCAGGGCACGGAGCCAGCAGAGGCTTCGCTGCTGCGGCTGCTAAGGGGCCGGGCAGGTATGCCGTCGCTTTTTCTGGAACATCAGCTGTCGTCTTGGCGTGTGGCCTTGGCCTTCTCAGACGACGCCGGGGGCTGGCACAGAAGGCGCACTCTGCAGTTTATGGTGCCCCCGTGGGCCTTGGCACGTGCCGCATTGAAAACGAAGTAGAGGTGGATGCAGAAACCGCCGAAGAACACATACGGCAGCTGCAGCAGCGCATTCCCGAGGTTTTCAAGTTTAGGGGAAGGCCAGCTGCGCAAAACCGAGCTTTGCTTTGGTGGTTCCTGCGTGATCGGCATTTGGACGTTGCAGAAGCCACGTCCAAACTGCGGAAGTGTTTGGAATGGCGTAAAGAATTCAGCGTTGAGCGTCTAGGCCCCGAACTGTTCATCAAAGAAATGAGATCTCGCAAGGCTTATCTTCACGCTCATCGGGATATTACGGGAAGACCCGTTTTGGTTGTTATCGCCCGGCGTCACAACATCCTCGAGCGCCGCTTCAAAGAAAGCTGCAGCATGTGCACTTGGTACATGGAGCAATTGCTGGATAGGCTAACTACGCTAGAGCCTTCTTTGGCTGGCTCGGGCGATGACAAAGTTGAGCAGGCATTGGCCATTGTGGACCTGAGTGGCTTCACTCCGCTGCAAGCAGACCTGGAGTTCGTATGCTTCATGATTGACGTCATACACAACTATTACCCCCGAAGGTTGGCCAGAATTCTGCTCGTGGATGCTCCAGATCTCTTTGAGTCTTTCTGGAAGAGCATTTGCCCCTTGCTGCACCACTACAAGGCCGCTTGCAGAAGAATAGCCTGATGGGTCCCAAAGATGTTCTTGCCTGCCACTGACAGGATTTGGCAGAGTTCACAACTGCCCGCGAGGCACGCCGAACACCACTCCCAATAGATTGTAGATCTTTGCACGATGTGACATGACCAGCAGCTGACCAAAATGAGGTGGGCCGCCGCTACTTCTCCTGTCCAGAAAAAGCGCCACCTGAACTGCTGAAGAGCTACCGAGCCTGAGTCTTGCATTGCACTTTAGAGCTTGCCTCCGGGGCATTCCTGAGCAAAAGTTCCGATGCTTGGCAACTGCCGGTTCCGTTTCTGAGACGCCAACAAGACGTTGGCAGGCTGAAGAGCCAAGAGTTCCGCACTTCACAGACAAAACAGCACTACCACGTGTCACTCAGCTTCGCTGTGGCTCATGCAGGCGCATACTGATGCGTGTGTGCTACCGTGCTACCAGCTGAATCCCGCTGATGTTGGCCCAAGCCCGGACACACCCAACACATGGTGTGTGGAGGGCCGTGACGCTGATGGACCACGCCTGGCTCTTCGTACTAGTTGCCATCCCGATCTCCTTCTTGCTTGCCTTGGCCTGGGCCTGGCTGCTGAGGAGAGCCAGAATGGCAGGAAGCTCGGGTACGGCGAAGGTCTATGTGAGCAGTGCGGGGGAAGGTAATCGTGCCTCGACCAACGGTCGCGCATCGACCAACGGTCACGAGGAAAGTGCTCCTCCATCGAGCAACGGTCGCGCCAGTACTGGTGGTGGCCAAGCCAGCGACAACTGAACACAGCGGATCACAGCGGCACGTTGTACCCGATGCATGCAGCAACTGAACACCAAAGGTGCCAGACATGGAGGTTGTTGCGAAACTTGTGGTGGGATTATTACAGAGCTACGTAAGGCTGAGCGCTCGGAGACAGAACTACTTTGACAACTTTGGCCGCGCTGAAGGTGTAGAGGCCAAGCCGGGATTGTCCGAACAAGCTAGTGTTTCAACGCCGGAGAGGAAAAGCAGCTTTGGCGAGTGGGGTTCTGCTGAATCCTGCCGTACGTCCTAGGCTTCAGTACTGCATATGAAGTGCTTCAGCCTGTCAGCTCCCTGGCCAGAAGTCTGCTACGTTGCAAAGGCTGCTGGAACAGATGTAGGCAGCCGGCTCCAGCTGTGTCCTGCAGTCATACCCAGCTCGGAAGAGATGCGAGCAGGTCGGTAGCGCACTATGTCTTTCATATTCTTTCTGTACCTACCACGAAAACGGGCTACAGGCACGTGAAAGCAATTGCTGGAAAAGTACTCGGAATGGGCACCGGCTCCGTTATTGCGAAGTCTGAAAGGCTAAAAAAGCGAAACTCTCAAGTTGCATGCTGTCCTATGCCTCGCTTCGTCGGTGCCTTCGCCCTTCTTCGGTCATGTCCCCAGCATGAATGGATCTGGAGTGAAATTGTGGTTTGTATATAGCCGAACTGCCAATCTCAATCTCTGGCCCCTCCAGTTCAATCACCGCGTCCGTGCGAGACGGGACGGCAGCGTCAGCATTCAGTGTGCCTGCACCGTCAAGCCCTGCTCCCGTCCATGCTCAAGTCTTGCAAAGGCTGGCGGCTGCTGCGAGGGCACCGCCCGTGAACACTGGAGTAGCATGGAAGGCCACTCATTTCAGCGGCACTGTGTTCTGTTACCAGACACTACTGGTGAGGACCCGCTGCTCCCAAATGTGTCTGCAGGAGATGTTGGCATTCTTTAGTGACTTCGAAGCTTCTCCGGATGGCTTTCGCGTTTGCTTTCTTGGTCATGAGCAGCACACGTGCCCGGCCTAAGCAGGAAAGTCGTGTCAGAAAGGAGCGAACCTTGGGGAGCCCTCCGCCTTTTCCCCTTGAGGTTGGAGATGGCTCTGCAGTGCGGCGCTGAAGGGAGAGTTCTAGAGATGAGCGTCCGCTCCCGATCCTCTGGTCCTTGCGAAGTAGGAGGCAAGCAAACCCTCAGCCCTAGACCCGCAAACCCGAAAACCCTAAAACCCCCTTCTCTTGCCATGCCAGCCTTGTGCGAGTGTGTGTGTCGAAAAAACCCCAAACTCCAAGATGACCCCCTAAACCCTAAACCCTAAACCCTAAACCCCAGAGGGAAAAAGATGACCCGGAACCCGAAAGCCTCCCTGAAGTCCCCAGGCTGCTGACCCTGCCCGAGCCTTGGGCGTCGCAGCTGCCTCGGCCGTTGTCTGTGGCGCTCCTGCGGCAAAGCCGGGCCGCAGCGGAGGAACCAAAAGAGCTGCGATTGATAGGTTGGGGTTCAGAGTCGGAGGGTTTAGGATTGGGGCCTTAGGATTAGGCATCGGGGTGGGGTTTCGTCCTTCCGCGCCGACAGCGAGGAGCTTGCCGGAGAGGTAGATCGCCATGAGGGTCGGCTAGAAGTCTTCAGCAACGAGGACTCATGGGACCGAAACTGCGAAGCATATGACATGTCATATCCCATGCCTCCAAAGGAGTCTGGTCAACTAATGCTCTCCTGTGCTGCCCGGAGACTCAGTCGGGCAGTGGCCAAGGCTGCTAGGCCACAGGGCTCGTCGTTCTTGTGCTTCGGAACACAAGTTGACTGATGAGGCTGTCATTCTTGCGGCGTCAGAGGCCCAGACTATTCAATCGTCTTGCGCAAATAGCCAACATTTGCTGCGAGCACCGGCTATCAGCTGTTGGGTAGTTCTGGATGGGCTGTTAAGTTATATACTTAGTACCCATGCTACAGAGCTCTTGCTCCGGTTCTCGGGCTCGACGCTCGAGGCTCTCGGGATGATGTGCGTTGCACGACTGTCTTGCTGGCGAGCAGTATTCTGTTCCCTAGATCCCTAAACCCTAAACCCTAAACCCTAAACCCTAAACCCTAAACCCTAAACCTTACTGCGGTGCTGCATCCTAGAGGCTCTTCGCGGCTCAGCGTTTCAAGCTCTCGTCCCTGGCTGCGCCGAGGTTTGCTGCGCGCCCTGTTGTTGACCTCAGCTCGGGCCAAATCTTCAACCACCGGTCCTCATGTTGCCGGGGTTTCCAGATCTTTCCAGGCCCTGTGGCACCTTTAGTCCGTCGCGAAGCTGGGGGACCTGCACTGCCAAAGCGCCACGTGAAGGCCGCCCTGCGGCGCTGCACATCTGTCGCAGGGACGTGAGAGCGCGAGAGCTTGACTTGCATCGCGGCTTGAACTCTGTAGATGACCACAGCTGCATAGCGGCTGTGCGCCGGGCAAGCCCCTAAGCCAACAAGTCTGTAGACGTGCAGGGTCAGATCATGGAGGACGTCTTCGTTCTGGCGCACTTCGGGGCCACATGTGGCCCAGGAGATGTGGGCGTTATTTTCTGCCATCGAACCCACGAAGGAATTATGGAAACTGACGCACATCATCTCTTTGAACCGGGTGTTCATGGTTCAACACATGAGATGGACCTTGACCATCGTAACCTTCAAATTGTAGTGATTCTAGTGTTTGCTGCCCGCAGCCCACTGTGGCTCCCGATGGTTTTTTGGATGGGCACTTCGGGGTAGGCGGCACTGTGCCACCAGACCGAGGCCACCGACCGGCATCTCGTGTCGAACCTAAGCAGTGCATGGACGTTGAGTGTGCAGTACGCCGTTGTTTGTTCTGCTGGGAACAGGGATGGACCTGAAACCCCAAGGCCCAAAGCTCTTCTTGCAGGTGCCACTTCACTCTTTTGAACAATGTCTGCCGTTGCTGCTGATGGCAGCATGCCGCTAATGGAGCTGCATGCCGCATCTTGTCTTGAAGCCCTTACAGAAAAAGGGCTCACAGAGAGAAAAAAAGGATATGTCCACCTCGCGAAATTTCCTTCTTGAGGTCCACTTCGGCTCTCAAGGCCTCGTGCCTTTGAGAGCTGAGGACTTGGCGCCGGGAGGCGGGAGACGAACGCCGGTTCAGAGTTGTGGACACATATGTCTCGGAGCACGAGGAGCAGGTGCAAGTGCACTGCTTTCGGAAGCACTTGCTAGAGCTGCGAGAGCCTCAGCAAGAGGGAGCGCAGTTGCAGCAACAGGCCGAGGATGCAAGGAAGATCTTTGGTTTTAGCTGTGCTGCTTGCTGTGCATCCGAGTCTGCTCATGAGCTGGACAGACCAGAAGGCCTGGCGGCAAGTGACCCGAGTGGGCGGTCAGCTCTTATTTTCAAGCATTTGTGTTGTTGACATGGAAGCATATGGAGGCCATGTGACACGACACATTTCCATTCCGGCATGATAGAAGTCGAGACTGCCGCGCAACGCAGCCAGAAAGAGCATGCTACACTGCTACGAATGAGGCGGGAATCCTTCTCCCCGCAAGGTGCAGAAAGTGTCCAGGTGACGGCTGTGTTCACTGGACGTCTGACATTTTTAGCCAGAGGCAGGGCGACCAACGGCAGTGTCAGAAGGATGAATTCAAACCGACGGGGACCTATTTGAACAGGCCAGATGAACGAAGATCCGTTATTGCAGCTCCCTCTGCTCATGGCACACGTCAGTGCCTTGACCTAGTTCATGGTTCTGGGCGAAGGCAGCGCAAGCCAGAGAGAGTGGCTCCATCTAGGATCCCAGAAGACTCCGTCAGAGTGACAATCGAAAGCTTGTTCGTGAACGGTCCTAGGCCCAGCTTGCTGTCACTGCAGCTAAAGCAAAGAGCCAGCGTTAATCGGTCGAATGTTATGTCACATGTGATTTACATCCTTGCGCAATCTCCCCCAGACCGAAGTGTGGAGAAGCAGCCAGCCTAAAGGGATTGGGAGTTGAGGTGTGCCAGTACTTGAAGCAAACCACCAGGGAGGGGACACAGTAAGCCCACAAGATGGGACACTGAGACTGCAAATCCTGAAGCTGGCATCGGTTTGGTGCCACTCAGCTTTTTGATTTCAGGTGCCACGCCCGTGGACGATGCATCAGCATTGCTTGCATTGGTGCTACCATCGAGTTCAGCATCCACGGAGGCCGGAGATCTGAGTTTCGGAAAGGGCTCTCCTTTCTCAACCGAACTGCTTATTCTGGAGGCCTGGGTGATGCGTGTCTACGGACGAGAGCCGGAACTTCAAGCAGCAACTCGGTGGCGAAGTAGCTCGCAGGAAGCGCCGGAGCTGATGCAAAGCGCGGGCTGCTTTCTTGATTCGGCTTCGTGTCTTATTGCAAAGCTGCAGCTTCCGAAGGCAGGTGATTGAAGATGATGAGCTCGACAAGCTCTGTAGAGGAAGCGAACTAGAGAGGATATCTGTGCTGGGGTAGCCGGCTGAGCGATCATGACCAGAAGTTACTCCTGCCTGAAGCTGCCTTAGACATGAAGCAGCATGGACCAGTTGGCCAGGAGCTTTTTCGAGTTTCTGTGAGTGGTGCTGACACATTGGGCTCCGGAAAGGTGGTCGCATGGTAGCATGACATCTCCTCGCAGGTATTGGGGCTGCTGAGCAAGTCCGGAGTGATTCGGCACGACCTGTCTGCCACCTATGTCATAGGCCGGCCGGGAGTCGCCAAAGCGTGTACCTGGCTCAAGCCAGAGTGAAATTCTCTTCGGTTTTAACCATATTATATGGTATATTGTTCTATTCTAGTATATTCATGGTATCTACTATATATATATATATACACACACACACACATATATATATATATATACACATACATGCATGCATGCATGCATACATACATACATACAGCACCACCGAGCCGGCCAGGACCCCTGCTTGCGAAAGGAGGATTTAGCTCGGCAACCCTCTCTGCATTGGAAGGAGCAGCTCTGATTTTTGTGTTTTTGTTTAGGGTTTGATCGGCAGAGTCTGGGTTCAAAAGAGTTTAGGGTTTCAGTAGCTCTGATGTTCGGGGACTTTGGCTGAGAGCTCCTGTTGCTCGTTGGCATTAACGTCAGTGCGACACAGCATCCGAGGTTTTCCGAGCTCAGCAACATGACCCGAGCTCCGCTGGACAACGGAAGGTTGCTTTCAAAGTTTCCAGGCCTAATTTGAAATCGCCGTTTGCTTCAGAAACAAGCCGAAAACCCGAATAGCGGCAACAAATTCGCCGCTGCAGCCTCCAGGAGTGTGAAAATGGGTGACAGATGTTTTTTGCAAATTTTTGCCACACAATCAGCTACGCCGCAGTGTCAAGCGACAAAGTCCGAGTGCGCAAGGCACGGCGGCGTGCATGTGCGAGCGGCGACTCTGTCACGTCACAACTTCGGTGGAGGTTTCTTGCAGCTTCAGGCAGCCTGCCTAGCCTATGGCTCGACATTTGACTTCCAGAGCCCATGACCAGAGCCTGGAAGACCTTGGAAGTAGAAGCCGCCGGTGCAGCACTCTTCATGCTCGCCGCGCATTCGCGGCGAACAGTGGCGGCCAACAACAACAGCAGCAGCATCAATAATAACAATGACCACGACAATGCCATGGCATCGTTATTGTTTCTCTTCTAGAGCAGAACCCCCAGGCTCATGAACCTTGAAACTATGATGTCACAGCTGCCTGTGGAGCTGCAGAGTGAGTGATACTTGACAACTTTGCTTGACCCCAATAGATACCTGTGAAGCTCTTTGCCTGAGTTGCAAGATACAGACTGATTCGAGGATCGTAATTGGTAACTCTGATGCAAGTGCTGGTCTCTCTGGTTCGAGCTGAACTGGAGCGAGGCTACTAAATATGACTGATATCTCAGACACACTTGGTGGTGCTGCTGGGGTATTTGTTGCAGCAGTGGCTGATGCAAGATGGCTGATGTCCTTTTGACGTCGATTCTGAGAAAGGAACTCTGCTCTAAGTGCTCTGTCAAACTGAGCTGATGTCCTTTGGTGACAGCTCGCTTGCAACAACTTTGGCGCAGTTAAAAGTGAAGGCCGGAGTTACCGAGATGGGGACTCCTTGTAATTGGCGAAACCTCCAAGGGCTCCTCCTTGCCATGTAGGAGGTGAAAACTGCACGTTGAAAGCGCGCAAGTCCGAGAAGACCTGTTCGTTACCACGTCATTGTGGCTATGCGCCGGGCAAATCCAGCGGAACCCCGAAGCAAAACAAAGTCAGAGCACTGTGGTGCGCAGGGATGTTGCTTCCCGGCCTCTTCTTACATAATGTTTTGCTACATCTTTGGTCCGAATAAAAAAGCCGATTGTGATGCATGACCTTTTCTTGCATCTCATTGCCTGCAGCTTTACCTGGAAGCTTTGTGAGAGCATCGTGACAGATGGATTTGGCAACTCCATGAGGTCTCCTCCGATCGGGGCTGTATTCTATGTTGCACGGCTTTCTGCACAAAGCCTTTTAAAGTTGAAGGCGTTGCTCTGTGTGTGTTTCGGGAAGTCGCCAGCAAAATTTTGGAGCCTCCCCTCCTGCTCGCAGTCGCCATCGTGTATTGTCTGTTTTTGCTTCTGTAGCACAGTGGAGGGTTAAGGGTTTCCATGATTCTTCAGCAAATTATCAATCCGTCCGAGGTCGTTCCAATGGCGGATGGGGCACTTCAGCGGCAGATGAGAAAGGAGGTTGAGCTGCAGCTGCTCTGCCATGAGCACCAGAACATCGTCAAGCTCGTCTCCATTTTCCAGGTTGGCTTGTTGAATTGTGTTGTTTGGAATCGTGTCTTGATTGAGGGCTTGCTGCATATCACTTTTCACATGTACCATAAAGTTGAACATGACCTAACATAAAATACTATATAATGAAGTTCTAAGAACCAAAACTTCAACATCTATTCCATATATATATATATATATGTTAATATATTTATCTATATATGCATACATATGTGGGACAAAATGGCATAACATAACACACTTCAATATATACATATATATATATATATACACATTTATATACAAGAAGACCATACATACATTCATACATACGTACATACACACATATACATACATGCATACATAGATAAAGATAAACAGACAGATGTGTCAAGTACTCAGTGCAGGCCGACGGCCAGCAGTTCGCCGATGACAGGAGACCTTGCTGGGCCATGGCTCTGTCCCTGGCAGGTCAAGGCGACTTATTCGATTGGGTGCATTGTGGAGGCACTGTGTCCGAGAACTTTGCGGCCAGCATCATGCAGGGTCTGCTGGCCGCTTTAAGACATATACACCTTCAGGGAGTCTGCCATCGAGATGTGAAGCCGGAGAATGTGCTTGTCTCGAACTCGCGCCCCCTTTTGTGTGACTTTGGGGTCGCCACACGCCTCAGCGAAGTGCGGAAGCGCCCGATCCACTGCGGGCCTGCGGGCTTTACAGCGCCCGAGATATTGCTCAATATGGAGCCCACAACCCAGAGTGATGTCTTCAGCGCCGGCTGCGTGTCGCTAAGCTTCTATGGCCCTACCAAGCTGCGGGCGTCTCTCTTCCTTTTCGCAAGTCTGCCTGCAACATGTGCCCAGCAAGCCGAGGCTTTTCTTCATGATTCTGAAGCAGCGGCCTTTCTGTGACCCCGACTTAGCGACGGCCGTCAACAGCGCGTTGACGCGGAAGATCAACCTCGACCAGTTCGTCGAACTCCAGGACTCTCACGCTTTGAACCTGGGCGCATCAGCGAGAGAGCTGTGCGTAGGTGTATCCTTGCGGCACTTTTCGTGCAAGAGGGTTTCTGAGGAAAGAGTTGCTCGGTGCCCTGATGGAGAGATCACCGCTGCAGCGGCCCGATGCAAATGCCGCACTCGGCTACAGCTTCCTTCAGGACCTTATGGGCTCTGCGCTTCTCTTCCAGATTCCCTTGGTCTTGACCCCACACAGCTCGTCTTTTGCCAAGCGCTGTGATGGCATCACCTCTCCTTGTCGACACCTCTAAATGCCTGCCGCACGTGGGTGTCCAGTCGTCTCAAGAGTCGAAACAGCATGCTCGCCTGCAGCCTGAGCATCCGAATTTGTCGACTTGGCAGGCGGCGCTGGCACCACATCCGCCGCCAACCGATCCGACTTCTCGAGCTAATCAGCGCAAGCAGGCGTTTGCAAAGCTCCTCGGAAAGCACGTCGACGTTGTTTTCAAGACTTTGCAGATCATGTGCAGTGATTTCCTTCTCAACGCAGTGAAGGATGATGACCACCGGGGACAAGCAGGCCAGCCATAGTGCTTCTTAACGAATCTCTGCATGCGGTGTGCCTGCAGGCACCTCCCAGCGACGCCAAGCTGGAGGCCTCCATGACCGTTAGTGCCCCCTGCATCCTCAACCCTACAAGTCTCTGAGAGGGGGGGAAAGCACATTCTCTGAAAAAAAAGCTATACCACCGTAAATTATAGAACGCTGTAACTCGCTTAGAAACCCTTTACAGCCTTATATACAACCCTGTCGCACCCCACCCCGCCACAAAAAAAGCCCTAAAGCGGTGTCAGGTCCCGCAAGATGAGGGCCTGCGTCAGGCCGTGCCCGGGTTTCAGCGTCGCTTCAGTGGCGCAGAGGGTTTGGGGGTCTAGGAGTTTGGGATGTCCGGCTGTCGCAATAGGCCTGGATGCAACAAGGAGTTTAGGATCTGGGCAGTCGCCATTTCGCAATGGGCCTGGATCGAAAAAGGATTTGGGTTGAAGCCCCCTGTTTGGGTGGAAAGGGCGGCCCAATCGACGAGGAATCTATTCTTCAGCATGGGCTCGGCACTGGCTTCACTGACTGGCACCAGTAAGTCGCGTAAAATATGCCAGTCTTCATTTGGCAATTCTTGGTGATCCCCGGGCTGCCCATGCCATGCAGCTCTGTATCGTTTTGTAGTCCATACCTGCTAGTGCCTGACTGTTCAGCGATGATGATGCACAAGTGCGAAGATGAGATCGATCGAATGGCATGCGGATCGGTCCCGTGCACACTCGCCCGGCCACTTGCTGGCAGTTCGGCCGTGACATGAGGGCCGTCAGTGATGCTGCAGGAAATGTCGTTGCGCAGCTTCGAAGGGACTCCGCCAGATCCGAGTGGAGCCTCGGCTTCTGAAGGCAAGACAAGCGCAGAGTGCCGAGTTGGGCCTTGTGTGCGGTTTTGGGGTAGATCTTTGTGAGTCAAGTCCTTGCAGTAGAACTCTTCTGAGGCACTACCTGGCAGTCCTGCTTTTCCAACTCTGCCGTTCGAAGCGAGCCGTTGGTGTTCCGCCGACGTTATGTTGTAGTCAGTGGCACTACGAAGACGCCTGGCGAAGCTTGAGCTAGCCGCAAGCTGCATGCAATCGGATATGTTTTGGCCTGCGGCAACTTTTTGCAGAAGATGCCCGGGCCCAGGAGCTCTCTACAACTCAAACCCGTCAGGCAGGGCCTGAAGTCCGAAACAGCCTCCCCGCCTTCGCATGTACTGCAAGGCAGCTGTTGGATGTACTGGATCTGAGTCATACAATTTGGCAAACCTTGGAGCTTTCCCCTCAGCATGTCCTTCTTCGTTGCGCATCACTCCCCGGCCATGCAACGTCGGCAGTTCGTCTCGAGAGTGTATTCGTCTGGATGCCAAGGTTGTCTGAATGCGAGCAAGTTCCGCTGGAAGTTCCTGATGATTCCGAGCCATACTCCCCGTTCCTTGCTCTTGAGTGGGGCCACATTCCCAAATGGGAGTTTCCGAAAATGAGGGGTACCTCTTTTGGGGTCCTTATAACTAGGATCCTACTATTTAGGGTACTATATTAGGGTCCCTATGTTCGGAAACCCCCAAATAAGTCAGCACGAGTGTTCTCGACCAGGTCTGCCTTTGACGCGCAGCCTCCCAGCAATGCTCTGCTGAACTCAGAGCCTGCCAGGCATGTGGCACTGGGACCGTTCTTAAGACTGGCTCCATGTGGGTAGTTGACCCTCAATAATAGGTGCCGTATTATAATAAGGACCCAGAAAGGGACCATAATTTTGACAACCACCCATGTCCTTCCTTTTAAGCGGATACGCCCGAAATCCACACAGGCAACCCCTACCAACCCTAGTATCCAAACCCAGCGAAAGACCTGCCTTCTGCTTCGCTTGCGTCGTTGGTCGAGGCCTGGGCCTGAGAGGATGGTGACGGGACAGATTCGCAGCCGCCTGGCAGACGACTGGATTCTTGTTAAACTGTCATGGGGAATCTCTTGCTTTGTTTATGCTACCATCTAATGCCATAACATGCAACTACCATAGATCCTTGTACCCTTACTTGAAGTAACTTCCTTAACAGGGGTCCAGATGAAGCCCTCAAGTGCCTGAAGCCGTTAAAGAAGAACCGAAGCTCCAAACACCCTAAACCTGTCCACTTCTAGCAGAGTGGACACCGAACTGTGCGGAGCCTTGCCGACCTTGTGCGAGTGTGAGAGTCGAAACCTGTCCGCACGTGCCGCCGCGATCCGTCTCCGGTCTAGGGTTTAGTTTTAGGGCCTTTTGGGTACACGTGGTTTGCCGCGTTGTCCTTGCACCTCAACCCACACCTCGCGCAAGCTGAACGAGGCTTCGTCCGTCAGACCTCCGGTGGCAAGAAGTTTCGCATCGACAGTGTAGGAGGCCCGAACCAGCACCCAGCCTCAGCTGAGTTCGCTGCATAGGGCATTGCTCAGCAACTCGTGATGGAGTGCAGGCGGAATGACTACTGAAATGGGCGAGCATGCCAGGCTCGTCGGGCCTAGTGGGGCGGGGGGGATTCTACCAGGCTGGGACGGTCCGAAAAAGCGGACCCGCTATGCCTTGTAATTGACAGTGTTTCTCCCGATTTGATTAGGCTGACAGGAAACTCTCCTCTTCCGCCCTCATACCGCGCTGCTTGAATGAGGCATTCCTGGATCAAGCCTCCAGAAGCGGTATGCCACGTCTTGCGTAGCATTCCTGCATTATACAGATTGTTTTGCTTGAGTTCTTCTACATCCCATGTGACGCCATGGATGCCATGGACGTGAAAGCAGAAACACCAGCGATAAAGCGGCTGCGACTGGCTGCGGAGACGCCCTTCCTCGAAGGAGGGTCGGCAGCTGGCATCAGCGCGCACACGCCTTTTTTACCACCCCCAAGTGAGGCAATAGACCATTTAAACATGGTAACCTCCGAGAAGGAACCACGAAGTGTATTGGTTTGTGGGGACATGTACGGGCGCTTGGACTTGTTGCACGCGAAGTTGATCGAGTTGAAGAGAGAGGTAGATCTAGTCCTTGCGGTGGGCCAGTTCTTGCCACCAAATGAGATGTGTAGCCGCATTTCGGATTATGTGGGTTCAGCTGCGGCTCGTGTCTTGCCGGTGCCCGTGTACTTCATCGACAGCGCGTCTGAGGTATTTATAAAGAAGGCTGAGCAAGATAAGAAGCCTGTTCTCCTGCAGCCGAACCTGACATTCTTGGGATCCTGTGGGATAACGGAAGTGGCAGGATTGCGCATTGCTTACCTTTCGGGCAGTTACGACGCAGAGGTGTTCAGACAGAAATGGGGTCGTGGACTTTTTGACGGTCCTCATTACACTTCGGCGGCCTTGGATAAGATTGAGAAGCAAGCTTTCATGATGCATCGGAGAGGGGAGAGCATCGACATTTTGCTGACCTCCGAATGGCCTGACAAGGTGTGGTCATCGCATGCCAAAGCGTGGGTAACCCCAGTTGTCAAAAAGACTTGCTCGAGTCCTGCTGTCTCCAGGCTCGCCGCCAAGCTCTGCCCCCAGTACCATATCTACGGACTTGCTGATCGATTCTGTAAGGTCAAGTCTGACAGGAGAAGTGATGCCACCTGGCACTCCACCACATCTCTGTCCTTGGCCCATGTGCGGGAACTGCATTACATGGAAACTCCGACAAAATGGTGCGAGACCTTGTCGATTCGACCAAGCACCAAGAAAGCTATAGCACCTGTGATCGTCGACATAGAGGATGAAGACCTCTTGGTCGAGACGAAACGGGAGGGTCTAAGCGCGAAAGCTGAGATGCAGGTTGAAGGGGTGGATTGATCGAAAAAGACTGCCGTGCGGCTTCGGGTTGTGCATGAGGCTGCCGTCATGAAACTCTTCAACTTCTGTAGAGTTGCACAGTGTCAATTGAAGTAAGGCTGTCCCATGCATGATGCATCTTGAAGTGAGCTGCTGCGAGGGGCCAGATGAGTTGGTGGGCCCATTCGCAGCAGCCTCCGGTGATTGGAGGAAAGGCAGCAGACCAGGCTCTGGCCCTGCAGAAAAGCTCCGTATGCACTAACTGTGCACTAATTCGCATTCATTTCTCGAGAAGCCTTGGCCGTGAGCTGTGACCGGGAAGCCCCGTCCATGCAGAGGTGAATCGCGACCTCTTCGGCACGTGCCACTTCACGCAGGAGCGGACAGAGGACGGCCGGCGCCGGCGGCTTGTGAGGAAGGCCACGCTTGGCGAAGGGCAGGCGGGGATCAGCGACACCGGAGAGCTCAGCCTTCGACCCGTCGTTCCAAACAAGGAAGGGCAGCCTCAGGAGGAGGACTTCGACGACACCGCCTCCTGGCAATCTTGGAGGCAGCATGCAAAGCGCCGGGGCGACGGATATAAGAATTGGCTTGTTCACACCGGCCAGGTCCGGGGTGATGTCCAGTGCCTCGCGGCGCTCTTCCCGTGGCCGAAGTGGCTCCGTGATGCATCCCGGACTTGCACACAGAGGGCTTATGTGTAGCTCGATGTGAAATTCAGGGCTGGTCATGCCCGTGTGTGACACCGAGGAGTCTGGTAAGCAACGCGAGCGCTGTGGCAATGCGCGAGCTGCTGGCAGCCAGCCACTGGGACTGGTTCTGGGGCTCGCTCGCTCGCTCACCCGAGAAATCGTCAGCTGTGTGCTTTTACTCGACAGGCGACGATGAGGCACATCCACACGACAATGATGACGACTATGCCATAGGACCGCCTGCAGGACGAACTCTTTCTGGAAGGACAGAGACCGCTGACAGGTGTTCTCGACATTTGTGATTCTAATTGCATGGCAGCCGGCCTGAACTGCAATCAGGAGTGTTGGTGGACCACCCGTGATGCACAGACTCTCCATCCCAGGGGCGGCTTGCTTCCAAAATGGGCATGGCATGCCAGCATGGTCAATTTTCGACTGTGTCTCCGTCAAGAAGTTGTTCGACTGTTGAGCTCAGGCTGGCGATCATCCGCCAAAGAGGCCGATGCTAACGCCGTCGCCACCGCAGACAGCTCGCGTGCCTTGGCCCGAACTTACGAGCAGAGCAATGTCCACGCCCGTCACATATGACAGCGCGTCTTTGCCGGTCTTCCACAAAAGTCCTGGGTAGGATTAGGAGACCCATTCTGGCTCTCTTAAAAGGGACCTTTCTGAGAGGGTCTATATCCCCAATCGTCCCCCTATTCCTAACTCCTAAACAGAAGCAGAGAGAGGTCATATTATATAAAATGACAGATATATTAAGACATGATAATGGAATCTTATTAAACAATGTACAAAAATGCTTTGACTGCCAGTATGGCCTGTCATGACACCCTCTCTGCACAGCACGTCGACGCCACCGCAGGAGCCAAGGGATGAGCGAGGAGACCGCGACTGGGGCACCTGTGTTTTTGGCAAGGAGCCGCCTACCACCCGCCTGTGACCTCCTGCTTTCTTGCGCTCGTACCCCATAAAATATACTCTATATATAATATCAGTATACTATTTATATACATATGGTTGATGTTAAGCGTATTATATAAAATATACTCTCTCTCTCTATATATATATATATAATATCATATAGTATACATATTGACATCTTGCATGTATATTTCATATTACAGCAGTGTGCCAGGATCAAGCTGGACCTGGCCGGGGGCGCAGATTAGCCGCGGGGCGGCCGGAAGATTTCTGATACTTGGGGGCTGTGGGGGGTAACTCTCCTAAACCGGCTTAGGGTTCAGGGTCCAGGGTTTGGGGTTTAGGGTTTAGATGATCATCAGTTCGCGATAGACTGTGCAGGCCTTCTTCGTGCTAGAGGGATTTGGGCTTGAGCCCGGCAGCGCTGCTTCCTAGGTGGAATAGTCTGGAAGTGCCGCTTCCCAGCTGATTGTCGGAGTCTGGGTTCAAGAAGTTTTGGGGCCTTGCACCCCGACAAGAGGGAACAAAAACCCCTCTACCCCTGCAGAGGAATGCGTGCTCGTCCTTGCTAGGTAGGACCAGGAGGGCAAAAGGAGGAATTCAGGCCAGGCTCACTGCTGCTTTCGGTACTGTCCTGCTCTCGCATCACGAGGTGAAGCCGATGGTTCAGCAGCTGGCTGTTCCTGGTCCAGAGGCACATAGTTAGTAGTCAGTATTACTACTAGTTAGTATTAGTATAGTATTGAGTGGTTAGTCGTACATTGCCGCGATCATGTTTCTTGAAGCCATGCCAATGCAGCACAGGCTAAGGGCCTCAATGACAAGCTTCGAGTTACTTGCCACTCACACTACACCCTAGCCTAGCGGCGTGGCCAGAAACCGATCTGACTACAATCTTCCACCTTCAGTCCTGTTTCGATGAAAAAGTGGCGCACAAGGGCCCTACCGAGCTCCCATGAACTCAAAAGGCTGTCTTTCGTTTTTGGAAAGCGGCACAGAGCCTAAACCTCGGTGGCAGAGACACCCTAAACATAATTTGCAGCACATTCTAGTTCCATCCAACCTGAGACCTGAGACACATCGCGTTTGGCTTGGGCAAGCCGAGACGCCAACAAAAACCCGAAACCCAAAATCAAGCGACCAGCACCATTCGCCTCGCCTGGACTGTCCGAGTTGTCAGCGCCCTGAAGCCCTAAAGCCCGAAAAGCAGCCATCTCTCGCTTGCTGGTTTCATCGTTGTGGGACAGTTTGTGGGACTATGTGCTGGAATCCGTGCCTGCCTTGAGGGAGCGTTCGAGTCGAGTGTGAGCGCCGAAACGCTGGGCCGTCCATCCGTCCGTTGTTTGCGGGATCCCGAGTACCTTGTAGACCCTTACCCCCTTAACCCCTCCCTTTCTCTACTTGGAGGATCATGGGACTTAGTAAGTAAGGTTATAAGTCCCTGAATTGGGGATATAAGTAAGTATAAGTATAGTTACCTTAATTATAACCCTACTTACTAAGTCCCATGATCCTTTAAGTACCCCTTAGTGTTCCAGTAGTGATGGTGACCCTGAGATCCGTGCCTGCACTGAGCAAGTGCGCGAGTCGAAACCCGAAACGCTAAACAGGATGAAGAGACCGTCCGCAGCAGCTCCTGGATGTCCTTTGCTGGCGAAGTGGGGCGCTCTTTGAGCCAGGCTGTGCTGAGATCTGGTTGTTACTGTAGTATCTATATTCAGGGCTATATGACAGTCTACTATATTGTGATAACAGTATGAGTATAGTAAAATGATGTCAACAAAGAATGCAGATTTTGTCGAGCAGATGGCTGTAGTGGGCAACTCGTTTTGCCAGGCCAGTATGGCAAGCGAAGCCAGCATGGCTGGCGTCGGGAAGACTCCTAGTGCCGTGGGCATGCAGGCAGCCTGCACCGAAATCTCATAAGCCGCAATCCGCATTCAAGTTAAGTCTTTCCACAGTTCTACGACCTACGGTTGACAATGTCAGACAGAGGCATAGCCGCACAAAGCCTCTATCTTTGACCAGACATGGGCGCTTCAGAACCCTAACCCGAAACTGCTCCAGTCGCGAGAGTCTTCCCGCTAAATAATATAGCGGGATCCGTATGTAAAGATCCACAAATTTTGGAACCCTAAACCGCCCCCCACCCCGCTTGCAAAGCAGTGTTTCCGAAAGGAGCTCCTCGCAGACAACAGTTTCTCCTCGCCAGAGAGACCAGTTCGCCAGGGCAGGCGAATTCCCGTACATGGCCATATTAAGATTTTAGGGTTTCGGCTTGGGGTTTAAGATTTAGGGTTTAGGAGATTTTAGGGTTTGGGCTTGGGGTTTAGGGTTGGGGGCCGCTTGCCAACAGGGAAAAGGGGTGGAGACTTGAGTCCAGTGGCAAAGAGGGCCGTTTGCAGCACATGCTTTTTGACCGGCCATGTAACACAATATAAAGTGGTCCTTGGCCGGGGGAATAGTGACCGGCATACAGCACGGCTTTCGATGAGCAGCCTAATAAGTTCTATGGGTGCAAGGGTTTTTTCGCGCAGTATAGTAAGCCGAAGGCTTAAAGATAGAAGCGTTAGAAGCAACAGGTCATGGGCCACATCCCAGCTACTCATCCAAGCTTTCCTCGATGGCAGGCGTGGCACAGCTCAAATGCTGCAGGACCTCTATGCAGCTGCTGACTACGCGGCATGAGAAAAGCGGAGCGGTTGGAAAGATAGACCGTGACCGGATTGTGGAAGTTTGATGGAACGAAAGCGAATGAGGACGTGATCAAACACCACGTTTGTCCTCAGTCCTCTGATTTCCAAACTGAATGCCTAAGCAGGCATGGCCTCAGCTAGTGGCCAAAGTTCCTGGCAAACAGCTGTGCAGGGAACATGCAAGATAATTTGAATGCGAGAGCTGCCTCCAAGAGGAAGCCTTATTTTAACGGCTCGGCCGCCAGTTGCTTTGGAGCGAGCTTTTTGTCGGAAATGCACGGTAGGTCCGGCTTAGGGGGAAGATTGTCAGAGACCGACGTGACGAAGCATGACTAAGCTCCAGGGTTCATCCAGTTGCAGGATAGTGTGCAGCTACTTTGATTGAGGACCTTTAGGGTACGTCAGTCATTCCGGACTGCTGGCTTCGCATGCTGAAACTGGGGCCACGTTCTGTGCAGCTAGAGTCCTTGCATTTTGATGACTGAGTTTTGCGTATCAGATCACTGAAAATAAATTGTTTAAGCGTCAGATCGCCTTGACTTGATCTGTCTGCGTATGGTGCGAGCATCGCGTGGCTTTCAAGCCTTCCCGAGCGAAGGGAGCCTTTCGTGCCTGACGCTTCGACTTTGTGTCCCGACAAGGGCTGATTACTGCTTCCTACTCGTAGGTCGACTGCCAGCGCACCAAAGAGTCTCCGACACTCTTGAGGATGGGGCAGGCATTTTCCGAGTGCAGTTCCCCAGCTAGAGCAGCTAGATGCAACTAAGTGACTGAAGGGACAGGGGCTTTTTTTCATTTGGCAAAACTGTGCCCTTGCCGAGGAGCTGAACTGATAGCCGCTTTCGAACATCCGGATCGGTTTCGAAATTCATCGCACGGTGTGGAGATGACGGGCCCTGCTTTAGAGTGCATGTCTGCATGACTATTCACTAACCTAAAAATCTAAGACTTCAGAATGTTAAGTTGCGAAATCGAGAGGGCCGTGAGCATGAGGAGCTCCATGCTGGAGGCTGCTCAGCACATCTGATCGTAGTTTGCACGGTGCCCGGGTGATGCACTGAGATTCGTCGCTGTGCTCTCTGAACTGTGGTGTTGAACCTTTCAGCTGCAACGGACGTGTTGAAACAGCAGAGAAGAGGACACGATGTTCGCAGTATTGTTCTGTACAGTAGTTGCAGGCGTGCTACCTTGAAAGCGTCTCACGAGATGGGGCATGTCTCTGAAAGGGACGTGCTGCGCATCTTTCGCGATTTGTAATACAGTGCGGCCTCATGTTGGGTGTACGATTGACAAGTTGCTTTGTCCAGTGCCTGAGCGTGCGATGTGACATTGGCTACTATGTGTTCATCCTTTGCCTGGTCAGGTCTTTGCGAAAGGTTCCAAACTAGACTCGTTGGCAACTCGACGTGTCCCGTCGTCTTGAGGAGAACACGGCTGTCGCTCCCTCCATGCTGCATGGCGAGACGTCGCAAGCGAGGCGGCATGGCGTCTTGGTGGCACTGATGAAGCAGTACAGATGAATAGCGGCTGCCAGCTGAATCCTTGGGCAAGGGACAAGCAGTTACAGAGCAGCTGCAGTCCCGGGTTGCCGGATAGATACATTATGTGTTGTACATGGCATCCGCTCCCTTTGCTACCAACGGGGCGTTTGAGATTCTTGAAGTGTTTCGTAGGTGCGGCACGCATTTCTGCGGAGCTGCTGCTCGGCTACATACCACCGTCTCTCTTGCGAGTATCCTGGATCCGAAACAGTAGCTTTCCCGCGCTGTGAGGCTGTCAGCCAAGAGGCTGCCGGATTTGTGCTCTCAGCTGGGATTCGCACCAGGAAGCATAACACCGCCTCGAAAGCCTAAACCCTAAACCCTAAACCCTAAGAATGGACTGCGGCACAGATCGGAGCTCGTGTTGTGCCTCCGAGAGCTTCTCCAGGCCCTGCTGAACGTGCACGTACCTTCGCCGCTTGCCCAAAGCACGGACTGCGTTGACAGCAGTTACAGTGTGGGATCCTTATGATCCTTGAAACGATGACCCTCCAAAAATTGAATCCAAGAAGGGACCCGAGGACCGCCAGGGAAGGAAACAGAGGAAGAAGGGACCTTTAGACTTAGAAACTGCCACGCAAGAGATGCCTGTGCGGCTTGTTTGGCCAGCAGGGTCATCGTTTGGTTCGTGTCGTGACTTGCAGCTCAGGATAGACTGCCACGGGATGATTGATGATGCCAAAGCTACTCAAAGTGATGCATCACAGTGGCAGCGTCTCGAATGCAGTGATTTCAGAAGTGTTTAGGGGCAGTTTGGCTTACGAGCTCAGTAGCAGCTTGCACATGTCGGCATATGTCCATCTAGATTCTAGATGCCTTCCTGGATGCACGAAGGTGTCCACATGCACAGGCTAGCTAAAGCCCTACCCGGCCGAGGCAGGACTGGTTTGTCTACAAGAACTTCTTCGCTGGCTCCAGCTTGGATGTAGGTGCCCTCACGGCGGTTTTGGATCACGTGCGCCGAAATTATTCGTGTGAGGTTCTTCTGCTGGTGATCGCCAGGGAGTGTCACCTCCCAAGCCGGTCATCGTTGCAAGATTTTTGCAGATCCTGACGCTTGCAAACATTTCTGCAGCGTGACAATCTCCGCCAAACTCAGCTGAGATTCGTGGATGTTGGTGCGTTTCACCCCATCCACCTATCGAACACATACTTCTTCGAGCGCTGCTTGGGTTGGCGCTCCTTGACACCGAAAGGACTTGGTTGGCAAAAGGCAGCCCCACAAGCGCTAGGCAAGGCAGGCACATGAAACGCCCAAGAACCCCCAAGCTGTCCGGCGAATCAGCCTTCATGCTGCAAGCAAAGGCGGGCTCTGCGTTGAGCCCAATCCCTCCATGCACTCGTACTTTGAGGCATACAGGCAGGGTCGCAGGGTTTGATTTCAGGCGGGGCATTCGTATCCAGACTCCACACATGCGTCGAAGAAACAAGTGAGGCGTGGGTGTGGTACGTTCCCGCACGTAATGAGTCATGAGGGATTGGATTGAGCATCGTATCAATAGTTATCTGCCAAAGCGCTGGTGGCTTGATCCACGTCAGACACGTGAAACCTGGAAGCTCTGAACGTGCCGCAGGCCCAGCTGCGAGTTAGTCAAGCACTGTGGCTTGGCAAGACTTGGGTAGTTCTCTAAGTTGGAGTCCCGGGCTCCTTAAGTGTCCTTTGAAAAAGGCAGCCGTACTATATTGAGGATCTACAAAGGGACCCGAATTTAGAGACACTTGGGCTTCAGGCAGCGAGTCTTTGCACTACACTTCGGACTTCAAGTTCCACCCCGGGCGCTGAGGTGTTTGGAGCCATCCACGCACAGCGCATGGCTCAGAACCCTAAACCCTAGACCCTAACTCGAAAGCTCACATAGATCTCAGCCAGGCGAGAGGGAAAAAATCGAAATATCCGACAGCCTGTGACACTGCATCCTGAACTAAGAGCAGATTGGCTCACAGATGCCAGGTCGTCATGTCCTTCCAGAAGGACCCAATTGAGGCCTTGAGACAGCAAGCCTAAGAAACGGGGATCATTTAACCCCAGTACCCTATAACCCTAACATCGGAGGCTTACATCCGAGGAGACGATGACCAGCCAGAACTGGCCAGCGCCGTGGACTGAATGATGTGGGTTTGGCGGTTTGGGTTTAGCTGGAAAAGGCTGGGAGGGAAGGTTTACGCCAGAGTCCGTCAAAGCTTTTTCCTTGGGTCTTGTGCCCCGCATGGCTCGAGGTGGTGCCGTCAGAATCACAGGAGGTGGCAAGCGGCCGGAATTTGTTGCGGCAGCTTGGTCGTGGTTAATGGAAGAAATGCCACAAGAAAGCCAGATCTGGCATGACTCTCATTTGCTAGGGTTTAGGGTTGAGGGTCCCTAAATCCTAAACCCTTTGTGTGGAGCCTTGCCTGCCTGGTGCGAGAGTGAGAGTCGAAACTCTAAGACCCTTTCCTGGGTGGTTATGGCCTCAATGAGTGTTGGTGAGTTCAGCCTGCTTGTTCCCTGGTGTGGCGGAAGTATGAGGAGCCTTGAGTGCGTGTGCGAGAGTGAGTGAGAGTCGAAATGGAGCTGGGCGGGTGGGCAAAGAAAACCGTAAATGGAGTTTGGTTTTAAGTTGCTTTTTGTTCGGCTCTTTGGGAACTGAGAAGGAATGTCGCACTCTGGATGACCTTCTGCGATCGCGGGGCCTGGTGCGGCCAGCAGTGGTGGACTTCTTGCCTCGCGGCATAAAATGCCCAAAAAGGGCAGCTGCTCTGAAAGCCACGTTTGGGTGAAGGTATGTAAAATTTATGCATCTGCATACCAAGAGCTTCGTGCAATATGTGGTCAGCATGAGGCTCCGAGTGCTTGCCAAACTTAAACATCAATCCTCTTGAATCACCAATATCAAGTTACCATAAGGTTTCTACAAGGTGTCCATAATGGGACTAGATAGGACTATATGGGAGTCTCCGAAAATTAGGGTACCTTATTTGGGGGTCCTTGAAATAAGGATCCTACTATTTAGGGTACTATATTAGGGTCCCCTATTTTCGGAAACCCCCATATAAGGTTACAGCAAGGGAGCTTTTCGGAGAGTATAAGGTCGGTCGATGCCGAAGCGGCCGAGGCGACCCGGTGTTTTGGACAGATGCAGTAAGACTACCAGAGGGCTTAGGGTTAGGTTTAGGGCTTAGGGTTTAGGGTTTAGGGCATGGGGCTTAGGGTTAGGGCTTAGGGTTTAGGGTTAGGTTTAGGGCTTAGGGT